ATCCCGAGAGGAAATTAAAAATTAAAAGCAGCCACTTGACATAAATCACTACTAGATATAACCATAATATACTATTTACTGATTATACACTGTTCAATGGTGTTAATATACTATAATATACTATAATACACTGTATATTAGTGCAAGGCAGGTGGAAAAATAGGCACTAGAGAGAAAAGATGTCAGGTCAGTGACAAAAACACAGTAGTGACATTTGTTTCTGGCTTCTACAAGAAATGTGATATTAACATCATAATTTTGTTCAACATCTCCAACACCAAATAAAAGTAATTTTAGTCATTCAACCAGCACTACAGCCACAACTGGTATGAACATTGAACCAAAAACTATTACCCCCAACCACCACTGCAACAAAATACAGGAAACATTGGGTAGTTTTCTATGCATGGTTATTGTAAGAATAACACAACAAAAAGTGTTTAGGTATATGATACTTTAATTCAGTAGTCAGGATGTAAGTACAAAGTCTTTCATGCTGTCAACATCATTGTGTACCTAAAAACAAATTTGTGTTTACAGGTTAGGCAGACATGCATGCAACTAGTGGCCAGCAGTAAACTCCCAGAGGCTGACATCAGTGAGGAGATAGAGCAGGAGACAGGCAGAGTCCACACCCTGACAGTCAGTGTCAGCACCCAGACTGATGCTTTTGAAAAGGATACAGAAGAGGGAGGCAATAAACAATACATTTGCACAGGCACTTTGACAGATGACATACTTACTTACCGAGTAATAAACGATGACCATTCATACAGTACATCTGTGGAAGGCATGTCCCCAGCTAGGGCACCATCATCTCAGCAAGATCTCGACCTTAGCAGTGAGGGATGTGAAGAGTCTGAGGAAGAAAGCTTAATGGAAGAGGGTCAAGATAATGCCAGTGATGATGAGTTTGAGTTGAGTAGTGAGGGAAGCATCAGTGATGAGGCTCAAAGTGTCAGTGATGTTGAGGATGAGGAACTAAATGTTTCACAAGAGCGAAAAAGTATTGTGTCGAGAAGAGAATTGTTGAAGCTCTTTCGTGTGTGCCATCAGGAAGATTGTGGCAAATGTTTAGTGAGGCCACCAACAGTGATCAAAAGTGGATTTGGATTTAGGATTAAGACAGAATGCATTGATGGCCATGATTATATGTGGCATTCCCAGCCTTTAGTTAGAGGAAAAATGGAATGCAATGTTTCTGTCCCTGCTGCTGTATTTGTCACTGGAAACAAGTGCAGTCCATTCATGGAGGTGTGTGACACCATTGGTCTGGAAACCATCTCAAAAAGACAGTGGTGCAACAGAAGGCCTATGTCATCCCAGAGGTCAGCAGTGCCAGGACAGTACACAATGAGGCTGTACTGAGTGCCTTATGCGATGAGCCGCTAATCGTGTCAGGAGACTCCAGATATGATAGCCCGGGTCACAATGCTTCATATGGAACCTACTCACTCATGTTTTGCATCACACTGGCTCGTTCACCAGTAGCGGTATGTAACCTAGACTGCTATATGTGAACCTGTGAACCCCTGAACTAATGTTAGGTACCGTCATTGTTTTTGGTAACAGCTGTTAGCGTCAACTAGCTAACTAGGGTTTAGCTAGTAATTAGTACTGGGGCAGCGACATTAAACAAAAAACTTGTTGGTCAGAAAACAACTATGTAAACAAACTGCACATGGAAAAAATAGTTTGCACCATGTAGCGTGTATTTGTTTTATTTAACTTTATTGCATATTCACCGGCGGTTACAGCTAGCTCGACTTACCTGCTATTGACAGGGCGCTCCAGTGATTCCGCTCGGACATCTTTCAGTGACAGCATTGTCACCTCCAACACGTCCACCTCCCGGCATAGTATGCTGAATGTACACTCCACGGTGATGCAGGAATGACCACGCAAAACGTGCTCCAGACCAGCCTCCTGACAGCATGGACTCTGACACGGTGGGCATCGGCGGACAACCGCCACACCGACACCAGGTAGTGTTGCCGACCCGCTCTTCACCCCAAACGACCGGCTCCTAGACTTCTTCCACCGGCAACGCTATCACTGCTCGGTTCCCCCGCCGTATGGGCTCAAACGCAAACGCAATCGGACTAATCACGGCCTCAACAGTCCTTTCAACTTTGGCGCCCTCCATTTCCAGTTTAACTCGGTTCAGAAATGCTTCACTGTCTTCACTGGCCAACGCACCCAACCAACCCCGTTACGTAGGCAATGACGTCACACCAAAATGGCTGCTCGCTAGTTAGCTAGCAATTAGAAATTACGAAAATAAATTAGTCATATTTGTGGTTTTCACAATTTTTAATATCAGATTTTAGGCAAGGTGGTTTTTCTAATAAATTTCCTCACTACCAGTGCCAAAAACATGCATGTTTCATTTCCGCTTTAAAGTGCCAGTACGCACTTTTACATTTCACATCTTTTATAAAAATGGAAAACTGTACAATGGAATGATCAGATATACCGACTGGACTGATAGAGCAACTTTTAAAAACATTAATGTGATGTTCAAAACAATAAAGGCGATCAAGTCTGGCCAGAGATAAAGAGTTATCTTTGGAGTGAAGCCAGGTGTATTGCCTCTGACTTTTATGAAAATGTCTCCAAACGTCACACAGTTCAAAAGTTTCCAGCAGCTTAATGAGCCGACTGTTAGAAGCAGCGTGTGGTTCCTGTCCAGTGAAGGGTTTTCTGTGCAGTTGAAGTCACCAGCCAGAAACAGATGCTCTTCACTACTACAGTCACTAACAACATCTTTTAACGTGTCCAAAAACAACAGTCTTTCTGAACCCACACTGGGAACATACACATTTATAAAAACCATTTTGACTTTCTCAAAGTCAGCATATACTTTCAGCAGCCGACCTGGAATGATTTCATGAACAGTGCAGGAAGAAGGTAGGAAATCTCTAGAGAAGAGAATACCAACTCCCCCACTGTTACTGCTCTTATGACTGAAGACACCCCCCCACTCCATTCCCTCTTCCAGTCACATTCATTATCAGCAGTGCTGTGAGTTTCCTGCAGGAACATTACATTGATCTTCTTGATTTTAATCAGACTGATCAGAGAGGCTCTTTTAACATCTTCTCCAGCTCCATTAATGTTTAAAGAACCAAGTTTAAAGTCACATGTTTAATATAAAGCAACATCGTGACAAAAACAAAAGAACTAAATAAAAGAAAAGAACATTAAACTTATTCATTATTAGCAATTTGAGCTGGAACCTTCAGCAACAGTTTCTTCAGTCTAAAGATCTCTGGATCAGTGAAAGACGGCTGCCCGACTCTCCCTGCGTTCTTCAAGAACAACCTGACAGAGTCATGGAAGAGCTGCAGGTCAGGAAAATACTCCTCAACCTTCACCCTCAGCCCCTTCGTTTCTTTGAGGAAGGTTCTGACTCTTGTGGCATCCTGTTCGTGACGCCTGAGTCTGTTGTTTCTTCCATAGCGATGATGTGATGATGATGAAGGAATCTCTGCAGACACCGGCTCAGTTGTATATAAAAAAGTTTATTAGAGAAAGGCACAGCATCTTTTCACAAGCATCAAAACAGCCTGTGAGAGGACCCAAAGCCAAAAAGGATCTTCTCTCGTTTTTCCCCAAAACCATACAATTTATAGGCTGAATGACCTCTAGTTACATATTCATGACATAGCTAATTCCTGATAACCTATAGAGGCACAGAGCCAACATTTATGTCCAAACATGGTCATTCTATATGAAGTTAAAAGATACCATAAATTCTGTTATGAAAAACAAAAGTCAGCTTTTAGGAATGTCTGAAAAACAGAAAAGGAAGGGGTGCTCACCCTCTTCTGGCACCTGACCTTTCTCTAGGGTATCCTCCTCTCTGTGTGTCTCTGTATGTGTCTGTGTGTGTCTCTGTGTCTCTCTGTGTGTGTCTCTCTGTGTGATTCTCTGTGTGTCTCTGTGTCTCCCTGTGTGTCTCTGTGAGGTTTGGACCGTCAGCTCTAACAGGAGTCTCTGCTGCAGACGCAGCAGCCTGACGGACACTCGCTCTCTCGGGACATGAGCGGATCAAATGTTCCTCTGCTCCACATCCAAAACATTTTAACATGTCAGAAGTGACGTGAACAGTGTAATCAAAATCATCAATACGGTACCTAAAAACTAAATTCAGTTTCTCGTTATTATTTTTGAGGATCATGAACACCTGTCTTCTGAAGGACATGACGTGTTTGAGGTGCGGAGGTTTGCAGCTGAGAGCGATCAGTCTGATCGGCGACACTAACTGTCCGTGTCGGCTCAGCTCCTTCTCCAGCATCTCATTCCTAAGAAACGGAGGCACATTGGAGATAATGACTCTTTTAGCGGGACTGACCAGAGACAACACCGGAGTCAGTGTTCCCTTTATCACCACTCCACTTTCCACCAGCTCCTTCACTTTGTTGATGCTGTCCAGAAAAATAACCACAGCACTGTTCATTCTGGAGGCAGATTTAACACTGCCGTACCCCACAACTGCCCCCACAGCCAGGCTGCACTCCTCCACCGACACACTGACAGCCGGAGAAAGCTTCACGGGGTGCCGGCGAGTCAGCTTCTCCAACCCGGAGACGCCTCGCGCCGCCATGCTCGGCCGCGGCAGCAGCCGCCAAACAAAAACACAAATACTCCCACAAACACACAACTCACACAACTTTGATCACAGACAAAACAAGCACAAAGTCATCAACAATCACACAGTGGAAGAAAAATCCTTCTTACACACTTTCACAAACGCTCTCTGCAACACCACGCTCCTCTCACACCGCCATTCACTCAGAGAGAGAGAGACCTTCACCTTTGTCTCTAAACTCTCATCTTTTATTCTTTATTCAGGTTGAGTTGCTGCAGTTTGTCAGAGATCAGCTGTTCTGCTCTGACCTCAGCTCTGAAGTCCAACCCCTCCCACCTGAGACACCTGGAGCTGAGAGGAGACGACCTGCAGGATCCAGATGTGAAGCAGCTGTGTGGTTTTCTGGAGAGTCCAGACTGTGGACTGGAGACTCTGAGGTCAGACTCCATGTTTTATTTCTGTGCTCAGATTAATCTGATGTTAAAGTTGTGTTGACTCTAACCTGCAGACAGGTTCATATTCATGAGCTAAAATCCTCTTCAGCTTTTTAACATTTACACTGTTCAATGTCTGAAAGTTAATGAGGCTCTCTGGATTGGGGGGGGTGAGTGAAAGAGAGGGAGGGGGAGAAAGAGTGGGAGTGAGGGAGAGAGGGGGGGAGACATGGTGAGAGGGGGCAAGATGGGGGAAGAGGAAGGGGTGACCGGGACGGATGGGAGGGTCCGTCCTGGGTAAGGCCCGGCCGGAGCTCAGCAAGGCCAACATGGTGATGAAGACGGAGAACTGCAGTTTGACTCGGTTCATTTTGGATCTGATCTGTGAGGGAAAGCAAACGCAAACATCGGAAAAATTAAGGTCCAAATAAGNCACCCCCTGACATCATCATTGCATCATCATAATCACTTCAGCAATATCACGTCAACATAAACAGCAGTATTTCATCATGATTTGATATGTAGGTGGCAGAATGATTATAAATGACTCACATGAATATGATAAATATGATATGGTATAGGTAGGTAAAACACAAATTAGTGTATTGGCTTCAACAGGGGAGTTAGTGAGAGAGAGAGACCTTCACCTTTGTCTCTAAACTGTCATCTTTTATTCTTTATCCAGGTTGGTTCGCTGCAGGTTGTCAGAGATCAGCTGTTCTGCTCTGGCCTCAGCTCTGAAGTCCAACCCCTCCCACCTGAGAGAACTGGACCTGAGTCAGAACTACCTGAAGGATCCAGATGTGAAGCAGCTGTGGTATTTTCTGGAGAGTCCAGACTGTCGACTGGAGACTCTGAGGTCAGACTCCATGTTTTATTTCTGTGCTCAGATTAATCTGATGTTAAAGTTGTGTTGACTCTAACCTGCAGACAGGTTCATATTCATGAGCTAAAATCCTCTTCAGCTTTTTAACATTTACACTGTTCAATGGCTGAAAGGTAATGAAGCTCTCTGGGCTCGTGGGCGGGGGGGGGCCTTTACCTTTGTCTCTAAACTCTCATCTTTTCTTCTTTATTCAGGTTGTTTCGCTGCAGGTTGACAGAGATCAGCTGTTCTTCTCTGGCCTCAGCTCTGAAGTCCAACCCCTCCCACCTGAGAGAACTGGACCTGAGTGAAAACGACCTGCAGGATCCAGATGTGAAGCAGCTGCGTGATCTTGTGGAGAGTCCAGACTGTCGACTGGAGACTCTGAGGTCAGTAAAAGGGGCGGAGTCAGTCCTTGCTGCTTCCATCAGTATTGTACTAAACACAGTATCAGAGCAAAGAGCCAGTGTTTCCTGTAAACCTCCGACCTTCTCAGTAGCTGCTTCCCTCAGTGAAGCTGTGAGAGGAGAACGGTGACAGGCGTCAGGATTGGACAGAAAGACAGTGAGAGAGAACAGTCGGCCAATCAGACATCAGTAATCAGGAACATATCAGGAATACCAAGGCCCAACTCCAATCCAGCCCCTACGCTCTCCCCCACTCTCACTCCGTTGGTGCATTTCTGTGAAGGGTCCGCCATAAACTGGGTTAATCCATTAATCAGTCTTATTGATACAGAATCAGTTAATATCTGAGACTGATCTGGGATCATCACTGCGGGGTTCAATAAAAATAAAGGTGTTACATGGATAGTCAGTCCACTACAGGAAAACAGTAGCAGGCAGGTGAAAATCCAGAAACCAAGAAACAAAGCAGGGTAGCAGACCATGAGCAAAAGGCTGGTAAGCACAAGGAGACTAAACCAATCTGGCAGAGAACAGAAGGGAGTGGGTGCAGTACATAAACAGGTTGAACTGGTGGGAACAGCAGGGACAGGGACAGGTAAGAAGCACCAGATGGGGGTGAGTCCACAAATTACAACTTAAACATAACTCAAACAAAACCTTATTATCTTCCACTCACTCTGTAACTGTTGTGTTTGTTCCTCCAGGTTGGATGGCAGGGTGATTCACGTTTCCAAAGACAAAACAAGTGAGTTCTGCAACACTGTCTCCTTTTCATCAGCTCGTCCAAAATACAATCTGTCATTTATAAACTACATTTTGGTCCCAGCTCTGGAAAACATCTGTGCTCATTTCTTTAGGAACTACAGGCTGTTTGCTTTGATTATTTTATGTCATTTATTATCGGTTATATAGAGATAAATATCAATATTGGAAAAATTAATATTATGATTGATTTAATACAAACTGCCCAGCCCTGGTGTGCATCTGTGTTTTATGAAGGGTCTTACATTTTCGTTTAGTTTTTTATTTCCAACCATACACAACAGCATAGAACCAGATAATAGGAATAAAACTGAGAAGACAGAAGAGTTCAAGACATCAGGCCCATACAACAGATTACAACATATTATTGACTGATGAGCAGGAAAATGAATTTATTGTTGTTGTTGTTACTGTGTTGAGTTTGCATGTTCCTCCTCGTGCCTGAGTGGATTTCCTTCAGGAACGCTGGCTTCCTCCCACAGTCTAAAGGTTTCTCTCAGAGATGTTTTAAAATCCTGTGATGTGATTCAGATTTAGTTTCACGTGGTTTCGTCTCCACTTATTTCCTGATTGAGAAATCTGGATTAGGCCTTTAGCCCCGCCCACCACCTGCTGGCTCCAGGTGGACAGGTGAAAGAGCAGAGAGTATGAAGACGGTTAGAGGAGGAAACATCAGAGAAACTCAGCCACATGTTTGACCCAGACTCAGTTGAGGAGACTGTTGAGATCAGAACCATTAGCTAGTTAGCATCTTTTATGTGCTCAAACAATGAGTCACCTCTGCTGACAAACTGGTAACTACTGTAGAGTACTAAGCCCACAATTTTATAATTGAAAATCCCTGTTAATAGGGGGCACCACTCCTCATTGAGAAGAACTTCATTGATTAATATGATCAGTCTGGAGTTTACTTTTAAAAATCGCGTATCTGTCCTCCACCATGACCATAAAACGTTAAATGAAACAACATGTGGGGCGTCGTGTGGCGTAGTGGTCTAAGCAGGCGCCCCATGTATAGAGACTATAGTCCTCGCTGCAGTCGGCCCCGGTTCGAGTCCCGCATCGGACGGCCTTTACTGCATGTCATTCCCTCTCTCTGCCTCCCCATTTCCTGTCTCTCTCCTGTCCTGTCGAATAAAGGCATAAAAAGCCCACTTAAAAAAAAATGAAACAACATGTAAACATAATGGCACTAATAATGACATAAAGGAACAATACAAATGTGGATTTCATGTTACATCCTTCAAAACTTCAAATTAATCATAATACAAGTGGTTAACTGATCAAAACAACATAATGTTTCCTGAAACTAAGTAAATAAGTAACTAAAATGTGTTTTAGCTACTTAAAAAAATTCCCACAGAAAAAAAGCTAACATCAGTTTCAGTGTCTGCCTTATTTTGAATATTTTCTCTTTATCTTGACGTCAAACAGCCCTTTCATTTGGAACTTCATTTTCTCAACTGTTGAACTACCATATCCCTACGCCCAAGTGCACCTACACTTAGATCTGACTCAAACAGCTGATCTGTGGAGTAATATGGTGAGTGCTGTAGTTGTTTGTGTGTAGGAGTACGGTAGTTCAGCAGTTCATTTCATCAGCTACTGATGAGCGTTGTTCTTTTGCTCCACTTTGCATCTTGGTTGATTATTAGTCAGTGCATTCATCTTGTAGAAGTAGTTCATAGTTCCTGTATTTAGACCCCCGTCGCTGTGTGTTCTTTTTGAGTAGAGGACGGAGATCAACTGAACCAGGAAGACATGGCTTCTGATATTAAGCTGATTGGATTCACAGTGCTAATTTTTTCTTTCCTCTCCAGAGGTGTTGCCCCCCTAAACAAATGTTCATTAATAGTTCTGATAAAATGTTAAACTGTACGACTTTGAGCTGCTGCTTCAGATCTAATGAGGAGAGGACCAGTAAACGCTGAGTTCTGACATGTGCTGTGTGTCTTCTCCTCCCATCAGGGGACTCTGATGTGAAACTGGACCCAAACACAGCAGAGAGGAAGATGGAGGTGTCTGAGGAGGATACCAAGCTGGTCAAGGTGAGAGAACACAACCACTGTACAGGAGATGTGTGTGTATGTATATATACATCTCCTGTAGCTGGGTATGTCTTGACGTGGAGCGTGAGCTGGTGGCAGTACCAACTAGATATAATTTGGCTCACCTCTACACATAGCAGGGGCTCTGTAACCAAACTCCTGGAGAGGGGGTGGACTTGTTTTCCGGAGTTGCCAAGGGTGACAGGCGCCAGGCGGGTGTGGGGATATTCACAAGCCTCTGGTTAAGCACTGCTGTGTTGGAGTTCTCCCCGGGGATTGGGCAGCTGCTCATGGTTTGTGAAGTAACTGCGTTTCATGTTTTTTTTTCTCTGTCTCTCACTTTCACACACACACACACACAGTGTAGTTGATGGACATTAAGTAGTTGAGTGGTTGTTGCCTTGTTCATTTGGACTTCTGCTGTGTTATTCCCTTTCTCTCACACAGTTGTCAATGTGAATAAATTCATTTAGTCTGCAAGTAATTGTAGAACTCTGATTTTCTTTTATATCGTTCCTACTTTTTTACCAGTTTGGACGTGAAATTGGTCTTAAATTTTATTCATTATGGTCTCAAAAAGTCTTAAATTTAACTTGTTGAAACCTGCAGAAACCCTGTGTGTGAAAACTGTTTGTCAGATGTCTACCACTCTAATCGAGCTCTGAGTTTTGATGGCACCTCTTCCATCCCAGGTTTTCTGCTGCACTTGTAATATGTACATACTGTGGAACAAGCACACATACTGTGACTACAGTAACTGTACATGAACTTCTTCTTGTCCTACTTTTCATACCACTGAGCCAGTTTGTGACAGCTGAAACATCATCTCATGATGTCCTGAGTTGATAGTGAAGAGACGGACAGTATGGCAAAGCATGTTGGTCCCCAGTTGGGATTGAGCAGTGGACATGATGAGTGCTTCAGTTCAGTGTGGACTGTGTGAGAGTATTTGTTTGCTTCACTGAACACAAGTTGGTTATTTCTAGTAAAACAACTGATGTTTCTTTCTGAATCACAGACTCCATCAAGCTTCATGCCTGAACTGAGAACGGAATCTGCACAAGTCTCATACAGGTAATCACATGATAAAATCACTTAACGCTGTTTTAAGCAAATATCTCCTTTACATCAAATGAGCAAAAAATTATCGACCAATTTCCAAATGATCATGTCTAGTTTAAGTTTTAGAGAAACTGGTAAATGAGCAGGTGAGAACATTCTTAGACAAAAACTCCATTTCAAAATCTCATCAATCAGGATTTAGAGCTGGGCATGGTACCACAGCTACAGAATGATGATGATCTTGAATGATATTGCTCCTGCACTAGATAGCAGACAGGATTGTGTCACCAATTTTACTGATTTATCTAATGCTTTTGATACTGTCATCCACCATATTCTTTTAAAACACCTTCAGTTCATTGGTTTCTTTCATAGTCTTGCAAATTATCTAAGTGGCACATTTCAAGCTGTTGTGGTTGATGGCTTTAGGTCAGTTAACAAAGGTGTGCCACAGGGTTCCTTTTTAGGCCCACTTTTATTTACTATTTTTATAAATGATTTAGGTGAGAAAGTGATGAACAGCACAATCCAGATGATGATATTGTATACACAATAGCATCATCTGCTGCTCAAAATTTGATTTTGAACAAAACATTGATTGATCTTAAATTAATGCTAAACTCTGATAAACAAAATGTATGTTGTTCCCTAGAAAACTGTAACAGTACCACAGAGGTAAATATTTCCACATTCAATGGAACACAGATCGAATATCTTTTTATAAATACCTTGGGTTCTGGATAGATGAGCTGTGCTTCAAGAAACATATTAATGAAATGACTTTAAACTAAATCACTTAAGTCACTAGCAAAACTGTCATTATAAAAATAAGACACGTGTTCCCCAAAACCACAGAAAGCTAACTGTTCAGTCAACCTTTTTATCAGTCATGGATTATGATGATGATTATGATTTATATGCACTCTCCTGCTTCTACTCTTAAACCTTTAAATGCAGTTCATCATTCTGCCCTTCGATTCATAACTGGGGATAGCTTTAGGACTCATTGTGATCTGTGTCAGGAAGTGGGCTGGCAGTCGTTGGCAGAAAGAGGAGAACATCTACAAAGCACTTATTGGCAAACTTCCTGGGTACCTGACATGTCTTATCAACTATAGCTCAACTTGACACTGCACTAGGTCCCAATCAATGTGTTAGCACTGAGATTCAGACTGTGGCTGAAATTGTCTTTTAAATTTTACGCTCCACACAAGTGAACTAACATGCAAAAAGTATTCAAATGAGATGAGTTAATCCCTTTTAATGGTCTTCCACCTCTTGTATCTGACTCATGGCAGTGTGAATGTGTGTGCTTCAGCTGACTCATTACCTTTACATGCACATATAACATGTACATTATGTTTTGTTGCTGTTATTGTTTTCATACATTAGAGTGTTTATTGCTCATTAGTTCAAATTAATTTTTACATTTGTGGATTGTTGTTTCTCATATTGAATATTTTGTCTCAGGGTGTCCTTGAAAAAGAGAGCTTGCTCTCAATGGCCTTCCCTGTATAAATAAAGATTTGAATGAATGAAGCCACCATCGGGTCGAGCAACATGATTGGTCTGGTGAATTGATATCAGAGAATGTCGTCTGATCTCAGGGTGTTAAATGTAATGTGTTGGAGGACGTATATCTTCCTCTGCAAGACTGCCAACAGCTGCCAGATTATTTATCAGAGGTCATGGTTTGTTTCCCAGCTCTGATAAAGATGAAGCCATGTTTGGAAGGGTGGGCCTGTTGCTCACATCATTTGTTACGCTGATGGTTTCAGAAATGACATTCAGGGCTTGATCATGTGATACATCCCCTCTACCAGTGCTTTGGAGCAGCATCTCAGGATGTGGTCCAGGGTTCCACAGTGTCAACACAGTGGACTATGAATCATATGTTCCTGTGTCCCACACTTCCCAGGCAAGAAACGTGGTCAGATCGGGATATTATACAAAACTTATATATTAACATAAACTTATATACAATTCCTGCAGGCCTGTGGATGATTGCTTGGCCCTGAGAGAGAGCTGCATCATGTTCTTTCCAGATAGAGCAAATCTAGACCTTCTCTTTATAATATTATTTACAGATACCCAACAGTTCCCACCAAGAGCAGCACTCTGCGACAGTGGCAAGGAAAGACTTCCTTTCAAGAGGCAGGAACCTCGAGCAGAACCAGACTCAGGGTGGGCGGAGCCATCTGCCTCGACCAGTTGGGTTGGAGGTCAATCACCTCCGTCTGCAGCTCTGACTCTGAGACTTGACTTGATCAGCTGAGCCGAGGCCCCTCATCTATATTGGGGCTCAGCAGGGTTGTTTGCAGTTGGCTCATCCACCACTTATTCAATGCTAGTTTGTCATGACAGTAAATCAAGCAAAGAGTACCAGACCTCTCAGCCACGCCCTCTACATCCTCTAGATTCTTTATGATCTTGAGATGTTCCCAGATCTGATGGGATGTACATTCTCACCAATGTGTTCTGCCTAAGAGTCTTCTACCGCTCAGAGGTCTCAGAACCAACAGTAACCAGCTTCTGAGCCTGGGAGTGACCTGTGGACGTTAGGTCATTAGTCTGACAGTATGACCTCTCACTGCCACCTGTGAGGAAACACTGAGATATCCCACCCAATATTTAGTCCTAATGATCTTCCATTGAATCTCAGGAATAATCTAAGACTAAATAAGCTTTTAACCTGAGCACAAACAGCATTTCTGTCTCCCTCAATTCTCTAAAGGTGATGTGTATTCACTTCAACAGCCAATACAGTACAGATGAGACATACGAGACTTACTGTGTGGTGTGCTTTGGTATGTGTGCTACAGTTTTGACTCAGACTTGATTTCAAAACTAAATAGAAACTCCAGTTGTTTCTGTTTTCCTACAGTTCGTCTCCCTCGTCCTTTGGTCTTTCATGTCAGGGGTTTACTGGGCTGTGTCCTACAGGTTCAGGTGTCCTGGTCCAGGTGGGTTCCAGTGTACTTTGACTGGACTGGTTTTTGTTGTGGCTCAGGAGGCGGAGCTGCTCTACAGGACTGTCCAATGGGATGAGAGCCTCCTCCAGTCAGCTGGAAAGACGCCAGCAGGGCCGCTGTTCAATATCCAGTGTCCTGAGGAAGCAGTGTGTGAGCTCCACCTCCCACACTGTGAAACAAAGGACGGTAAAGACTTTGCTGTCTTGAATGTTAAAGAAATATTTGGTAAAATCTGAGATATTTGTATTAATGTGCAAAATTGCAAAACAGAAAATTGTAATGGAGTATATCCATAACACTAGATGTACACATCAAGACAGATCACATGTGGAACAGGACAGTGATGATAAATTCAGAGACACCAGGTAAAGGATAGAGGTGAACTTCAGAGTTCACATCAGTAGATTCATTTGATCTGAACTCAAATGGTAAGAAATGATTTGGGTTTGGATTCAACAGATTAACAGCTGTGTGTTTTCACAGCGTTGCGTTATGAAGGCCTGCTGTCTGTTGTCCACATCAGTGATGATGGACTGAGCATCTTGGAGCCACTGAAGGTCACGGACACTCATGTGGTGGTGAAGGTCCCTCACCTCTCTGCCTTTGGCCTGGTCTGGGATACAGTGAAACGGTTTCTGAACATCAAACTGCCAGTAAACGGACAAGTCCTGCTGTTTGTCCGACCTCCAGATCCATGGCCTCCGGTACTGGATGTATTTCTGCTGCAGAACAACATCCCTGTGTCAGAGGTAAAGCTATGTGTCATATGTGCTTAACATCAACCTAAACCTTGATCAAACCTTCCCGTGCTGAGGATTTCTGAACAGCCACACTGTAAACTTTTGGCTCTTTGGACTTAAGGTTTTTTCCGGGTTCTTTAACACATTTGTTTGTTTTTAAAAGTGCTGAAGAAATAAAAATGGACTTGACTCTTTGAGCATTAAAACCTTAATAAAAATGTCCTGGTGCTGAAGGTTGCCGCCCAACAAGGAGATGCTGAAAACATCAAGATCTCTGCTGACTGTAAACTGAGCATCGGTCAAACTTACAGTGTCCACTGTGAACCTGAGGACGTAGAAATACAGCCTGAGGTGAGTCTCACACACTTTAAAGGTTATTAACAAAATGATCATGAATGCAGTTTAGGTTGATTGTTGAAAATTGATTCACAATTAAGAAGTATTACATAAACCTTTACAGCGGGTTTGAAAATAATGTGTTTCTTCTGGTTTTCAGTGTGCAGAGTTTTACTCAAAGTATGGACCAAATTTCCATCCAACATTTGAGGTTTTCCTGACTTCAGACCCAAAGAAAGTGACTGTGATGGTCCAAGACAAGAAGAAGACAGAAGTCTGGAAACGTAGTTTTTATCTGCCAGGTAAAGGCTTCAGCCTCATCTGTAGCCATGTTTTCACCACATTCCACCATTAACTGAACAAAAACCTCTACTGGATTTTAAGTTAATGTTCTGTTAGTGCCGCATCCTGGAGGGGTTATATTTAAGAACTTGATTAACTGTTGATTCACTGTTTAAACCTTAACAAACCAGGGAGACATAAGACTTTTAGGTCGTTGAGCTGCTCCAGGTATGTGGAAGGGTTTCACTGATACAGCAGTACAGGTGTATTGTATGTACAGGTGAGTTCTGTCACTTCCTGAAGCTTGCACATTAAGTGGACTAGGTCAGACTTAAAGGCCTCGCTACACTGAGTGATCTTGGGCTGCCTGAGATCTAAGTTGACAGTTGTTAAATAAAATCTGTGGTGCTCATTTCAAAACTTGGTCCTGGATCACACTTAGAGACACCTCCACTGATGGCCAGTTTGGAGCTTTGTCAACCAAAGAAAACGTGCAGCAAGATTCAGACAGAGTCATAAATCTGGGACCAAGTTCACAGTGAGACGCTGAATAAAGCAAAGTGACCCAGAATACACAGAATCAGAAGCTGACAACCTACCACTGATCACACAGTCTGACACAAACTGAGAACAATATTAATATCTGTGTGACATGAAATAAACTGCCGCACAGTGTAAAGGCACCTTAAGAGACTGAATCAGATGTCTCCATTGACAGCTTTCATTGTTTTATTTAGAGGAAAAAGGGAATTGGGGAAATATCAGAAATGTCCTCCAGCTGGAGGGGTGTGTTTGATTGACAGCAGCAGGCTGTCAGAGTGTGAGCGTCATGCCATTAAATATAAAAGATACTTTTCTAATATGGTTTCTGAACAAAGGAAAAGTGATTTACAGACAAGAAACATGACACTTCATTTCTTCTATCATTAGATCTTTGTGAAAGTGCTGATTATTAAACAAAAGTTGGCTCCCTGGTTTTCTTCCAGGTCCAAGAAGGGAAACTGTACAGAGGAGCGTCCCAGCAGAGGACAGCGTCCCAGCAGAGGACAGCCTCCCAGCAGAGGACAGGCTGTTCTTAGTTCGGACACAGTTCATCAACAGAGTGTCTGACGCTCTTCTAAACCAGCTTCTGGATAAACTTCTGGAGCGTGGTGTTGTGACTGATGATGAAATGCAGTCAGCCAGAACAAAAACGAGAGCAGAAAAGGCACGAGACGTGATCGACACTGTGCGAAGAAAGGGAACTGAAGCCAGCTCGGTCCTGATCGCTGCTCTCTATGAGGTGGATCAATGCCTCTCCAGAGTGCTCGCATTAAGATGAAGCAAAATCCAGAAACTGTGGAGTCTGAGAAAGAATTTCCTTTCACTGCTACAACGATAACATGCAAATATATTTCCATTGAATCTACTGCATCCACCCTTCATTTCCTGCAGGATGTGAAATGCTGGATGGCAAAAAACCCTATATATATATATATATATATATATATATA